CACAGGAGGCTTGGACATCTCAATGCTCGGAGCCTGGACATCCTTCGGACGGACACGGGTACCGGGGTGGACTATCGGGACAGTCTCTCCCCTTGCAGGGTCTGCCAGATCGCGAAACACAAGCAGTCCCCCCACCCGAAGCAATCGACCGCAAACTATCACGGCCTGGACAGCTTGTGGTCATCGACAACATGGGGCCTGTTAATCCACCTGCGAAATATAAAGAAGGCTCCTTCCCGTACGCGTGCAAGATCACCGACGACTACACGAAGATGAAAGAAGTTTACCTGCTTCGCAAGAAATCTGACACGACCGAGGCGGTGCACACGTACAACATGTGCGTCGCAGCGGCAGGAGGCTACCGGATCGAGACCATCCGCTGCGACAAGGGAGGCGAGAACACCGGATCCGAATTTCGGGACTACTGCAAGAATTCAGCTATCAAGCTCGAGTACGCCGCCACCAACACCCCTCAACAAATTGGTGTATCGGAACGGGACGGACAAACCCTGGCCGGAGTCACCCGGTGTCTCCTGAAGGATGGAGATTTTCCGCCCGTCCATGTGGGGGGAGTTAATGCTGACTGCAGCATACCTGTTGAACAGGTCCCCACACTCAGCACTGGGAGGAGCTACGCCATACTCGAAGTTGCACAATAAGTCACCTGATATCTCGGGACTTCGGGTCATTGGAGCGCGCGCCTTCGTACACCACGAGAGATACCGAAAGAAGCTGGACGACAGAGCTTTCGAAGGCAAGCTATGTGGTTTCGGCCTCGACAGCCAGACCTACCGGGTATTGAATCCATCCAACGGGGCCGTGGTCGAGAGCCGGAATGTGACTTTCATCGAATCTCCACCCCGCTCAGTGCCCTTCCAGTATTCCACTGAAGCAAACGGGTACGAGAGCGACGTGCTGAGCTTCACCTCCCTGCTGGACAGCCCCCACTCGACGAGCGACCTGGACTTCACGGCGCAGAACGAACTCCTTCGGCAAGAAGTCCGGAAGATGCAGCAAGACAATCTCGCTCGGGAGAAGCTTCGCCTAGAACTGGACGGGCACGAGGACGAACATGGAAACGGGCAAGATCTCGGCGACGGGGACGCTCCATCACCACATCTCCCATCGACGCCAGCTGGATCGTCATCCGAGACCCACGCATCTAGCCCCAGTCCATCATCGTCGAACCCGACTGAACCGGACACTTCTGCATCAACTGGATCCTCCGGCATGCGGCGCCTGCAAGTCACCAGAGCCAGCACGCGCGGGAAGCCCACCAGCGACGATCATATCGACGTCAACTTGGTTCCTGCCAATCTGGAAGTCACCATGAACGACCGCGGTCGAGCCCATGCTACAACGGGCCGCGTAGAGCCATCCGGTCTTTCCTTCACTCAGCTGGCTGAGATAGCCGATCAAGCCCAGCTCCCATGCCCTGGCGATACTGAGGATTTCGCCCACGTTGCGGAAGACCCCTTCACGGTGCCGCGTGCTCACGCCTACGTCACGACCACTCACGAACACCACGGGATCTTGGAGGAGACGAATCAAGCGATCAAAATCCCCAACACCTACGACGAAGCCATGAGCTCTCCCCAGCGCGAAGAATGGAAAGGAGCGTGCAGCAAGGAAATGGACAATCTGCGGAAACACAACGTCTACAATCTGGTGCCCCTCAGCAGTGTTCCCAAGGGAGAGAAGATCCTCGGAACGAAATTCGTCTTCAAGAAAAAGCTGGACGGACGCTTCAAAGCTCGCCTGGTAGTCGGAGGACATCGTCAAGAGCCAGGACAGGACTACGGACGCAGCTACGCACCAGTATGCCGTATCGGGAGCATTCGCATGACGTGCGCCATTGGCTGCCACAACAACTGGCCCATCTACCAACTGGACGTTGTCGGTGCCTTCCTGAACGCCCTCTGCGACAGAGATGTGTACGTCAGACCCGCCCCCGGTACATCCGCCAAGAACTCCGCGACGGGAGAACCCATGGTGTACAAACTAGAACGGAGCCTCTACGGCCTATCGCAGTCGCCTGCGCTCTGGAACGACACCCTGGACGAATCCCTCACGGTGTTCGGATGGAAAAGGACTCAATCCGACCCCTGCGTGTACGTGTATACCAGCGGCAACATCATCGTGATTCTCACGGTCTACGTAGACGACATTCTCATCACAGGAGGAGACCAGCAGCTCGTGGACCAGAAGAAGAAGGAGCTCACGGATCGATTCGAGATGACCGACATGGGAGAGGTAAAGCGGATCCTCGGGATCGACGTGCAGCGAGACTACGAGCAAGGAACCCTGGCCATTTCACAGGAGCACTACGTGAACACACTTCTGGAGCGGTTCGGAATGCAAGAGGCCAACCCAGTGAGCACTCCTGGATACGGAGCGGAAATCTCCACGAATCAACCTCAGGACCAAATCCTAGGACCCACGGACAAGAAAATTTACCAGTCGATGACGGGAAGCATCCTCTACCTGGCCCAGTGCACGCGATTCGACCTCTCCTACGCTGCCCTACAACTTTCCAAGGCCTGCAGCAACCCAGCGCAGGTGAACATGACAGCAGCCAAGCACGTTCTGCGATACCTTCGGGGTAATCCAGTTCTTCCTATCGTCTACAAGAGAGGACAGTTTCGGCTAGCGGCGTTTACGGATTCATCCTTCGGAGCAAACCCCGACAACGGAAGATCTACCACGGGATATCTCTTCTTTCTGGCTGGAGGACTCATCAGCTACGGTGCGAAGACTCAAACTCTAACCGCGCAAAGCACGGTCGAAGCCGAGATTCAAGCACTTAGCTACTCAGCCAGAGAGGCGGTCTACATCTCAAATTTTATGACGGAACTCAACTTCAAGACCTTCGGATCGGTTCCCATCAACAGCGACAGCACCGGAGCGCTGACAGTGGCCGGGAATGCCATGCACTCTCAACGCACGAAGCACGTGACCCTGAGGTACTTTTTCATCCGGGAGCTAGTACTACGGGGACAAATCACTCTTCACCACCGGCCCAGCGAGCACCAGTTGGCTGATATCGCGACCAAGTACCTCCCAAAGCACCGATTCGCCTCCATCATTCAGCAGATTAAGGACTTCTCGTGTTGATCGAAGATCTGTGAAGCTCCCTTCCATACCAGAAGGAATTTATTTTCGATACGGTGCCAACGGAGGGGTCGAGGTAGACAAGGATATGGTGATGCCGTCGACCATTGTGAATTAGTTGCTTGATCGAGGGGTCGTGTCAGGAAAATCGTGCGTCGAGACCACCAGTAGTCGGACACGGTTTGACCTTTGAATACGATTGCAGCAACTAGTCTGCGTAGCAGTAGAAAATAATCCATCTCTCCTTGACATGTATTCTCTTGTTCTAGAAATATTCCGGAAGCATGCTAGGTCAAGGTTGACCGGGACATCTATGTAGAACGTGTGTAGCTTCTGGAAGCCTTCTGGAAACTTCTGGTTCCTCCTGTAGCCTCTGGAAGCCTTTCTGGAAACTTCTGGTTCCTTCTGTAAGCTTCTGGAAGCGTTCTAGATCTAGGTTGCAGTTGATACTCTTCTAGAACGTAGGAGGGCTTCCAGAAATCATTCTGGAAGCATTCTGGATCTTTCGTGTGATTGGCTTATTTGTCCGGTATTCGAGAAGAGTGGTGCAGCCCTAAGCTCGCCCACTCCTCTCACTCCTCTTCAGTACCAGCAACATCAATCTGACTCGGGAGTCAGCAATTAATCTTCATATTTCCATTTCAAGTCTCTCGCGGTTGGAGCCGCACAGAGTGTGAACCTCTGAGGTAGGCTACACAGCCTCCTGGCATCTGCAGCATCGTGCTGCTGCTAGTGCATCGCGAAATATCTATGACAACCGATGGTGTAAACCCCAAAATATTCCGTAACTCCTCCTCCTCCTGAGTTCTTGATTGAGTCGTGGCGCGTTCTGTGTGTATAGATTCATATCATAATCAACAATCATTTTTTGCATTCAACCGTGCTTACTTGATGATCTTCACGAACTAACTGCACAATATCTGCAACCAACCGTTGTAGTCGTAGGGCACTGCTGAAGCGGGGGGTAGTTTGCAATCCCCACAGCACGTAGCTACACGGTTTGATCAGTCAGCAGGTAAGTTTTCTGGGGCGCAGTCTCGATGTACTTCAGTATCCACCGTCACCTTGACCGACCTCCTCCAGTCTTTTGTCTGTCGTGTACAGCATGGCAGTATTATTTGCCTTGACACCTGCAAATCCTGAGTCCACTAGTCTAGACATGCATCTACTTCTGCTCTTCTTCCTATTGTAGTCTATCTACGACAGCTACACTATTACTCCGAGTGGTAGATCGTGGCAGTGCTCTTGAAGCGGTAATTGAAGTTGAAAGCTGCCGCCGAAGGCAGGAGATCCGGCGGCAGCGTGGATCCTCCAAGCGATATATCCCCCGTCCGAGCTTTTCACACACTCATGACCCGGCGGTTCATAGCACTCCCTCGACGGCCCCTCGTGGCCTGCCGCGGTGGCGTCACCCTCCGCAGCGGCCACCGCCGCCAGGTCCACGCACTTCATCCATCTCCGGCGTTGTTGTATGTATGTGCCAATCAACATTGTAGATTTATTTAAGGGAAAACGACACAACAGGGTATAGTATATATCCTGGTCGAAAAGCGACCNCAGGGTATACCCAGCCGTGACTACTTTTCTCAATAACTACTGTACCCTGTTTTCGGAAATGTACCCTGACCTGTCGGGAAATTAGACCCTTTCATCAATCATTTCCCCCGCAGGGATCGTCCCAACTCCTTTTCCCCTCCAACCATGGGATTTTGTTTTGTTTTTTAGTCTTCACTTCAAATCACCGCTCACGGCGCTATTAGTGCCGTCTAGTCCAACCCGTGGTCACACAGAAGAGCCCCTCTCTACCCTCCCCTCCTGCGGTACTTTGCCTTCGATTTATAATGCGAGAAGAGTTCAGCACTCTCTTCCCTCTGTGTACACACGAACTAGCGCTATCCACCAGGCCAGGAGCGGAAGCGAGAGAAAAACTCACTTTGCAAGAAACGCTCGCTTACGCCGGGATTCGAACCCCTGACCTGACCTCTAGAGGGTTTCTAGGTTACCAACTAGACCACCGGGGCGCCCGGCATTGGGATACCAAACGGCGACTCTTCCCGCCCAATAACAACCACGGCAACGGGGCAGGAATCAGTTTCCGCCCTTGCGAAACAACACCAACCGTCAACTCTTCCGCTCTAAGTCAACAATGGCCGGGCAACACGTATCCAGCTGTTCCTGGATGGAGACCGAGGCTTCCTCCGCGAATTCCACGCCATCGTCGTGGACGTGTGGCAGACGGGGAACGTACCGCAGCAGTGGAAGGACGCCACCATCAAGGTTCTGTTCAAGAAGGGGGACACGATGGAGTGCGGCAACTACCGGGGCATCTCTCTCGTTGCACACGCCGGCAAGGTGCTGCTTAAGGTCGTTGCAACACGCCTAAGCCACTACTGCGAGCGAGAGGGCATCCTCCCGGAGGAGCAGAGCGGTTTCCGCCCACACCGGTCGACGCTCGACATGCTGTTCGCGATCCAGCGGCTCCATGAGCTCGCGAGGAAGAAGAGTACTGCGGTCTTCGCGTGC